GGTATGTCCAAAGTGGTCACGAAGAAGTTTCAGACCCAGACGAGTGGGCTGACATCCATTATGCTGCAAATTCCTCAAGAGCAAGATCCCGTTCCAGAAGCAATGAGGAGATGGCAACACCTTTTTTCCCAAAGAATGCCCTCTGTCCTTTCTGCTCAGCGCGATCGTCGACTTGCAGAAGAGCGTGCAGAGGCAATAGTTGCTCATGCAGAAAGATCGAGAATGCCGTGGTGTTCGACAAGTGATTCGTGCATCAGGCTCACGACCTTCCAGAGCAGTTCCATCAGGCGATAGTGTGAACTACTACCAGGACTCAGTTGGTGTGGCTTCATTTTTCCACATTGGATTGGTTCCTCGTGAGCTATCTGCATTTGAAGACTACAGGAGGGACCTCATTGGACAAGGACAAGGACCAGAAACAATCGTGGTTCACAATTCAAGAGGCCTTTCAAACTTTGTGGCGAGTTGCATGGACCCAATAGAACGATTTCGAGCTCAACGACTTCTACGACGTTTGCATGGATTGTTGGTGATATTTCAAACTCGTGAGCCAGAGCAATGGATTTCTGCAGCGGAGTCAATCATGGAGTGGCTGAATACAAATCGCGATTGGAGTTTTTTCGACATTGGTGAGAGAGAACAAGGATCAGTTCGTGATGAAGGAGAAGAAGAAGATCGCCGAAGCGATGAGTCGGTTGATCCGCAAGACCGATATGACTATGAATGAATGTAACCCAATGAGGTGACGACACCAATAGAAACTATAGGAAGGACTATGAAGAGTCCTGCGGTGTCATATAGATGCAAGATGGTGAAACACCTTTAAAACAAGGAGTTTCAAGGCGGGGCGTGAAGCTTTAGCTGATCCCGCAAACCATGTGTAGTATCTGTTCGTATCAGTGTGCCAACAACTGTTTGCCACCAACTACAGAAAAGATAGCACGCTGCTTCAGACTATCATAAAAGTTGATCATAAATCACATTTTTTGGGTATGTTATGATGTGTTTTGTTGATGGTGTTTGATATGCGTTTTGTCCTGACGATGATTCGCGAAACTTGACATTTCTTATGTACTTGGTCGTCACTTAGTCAATTAATAGTTATCTCATGTTATCTCCTTTTGTATGTCAATTAGAACCGTAAACAAGTAATTTTTCAACTTCAGTTTTGACTATGAACTTGTTTGATCTCGATTCAAATCAAAATATAGTCACAGCTTCCTAGTGTAAGTCCATAATCATAGTCTAGTCATGATTTAATGATTCCAATGATCTCAAGGCCAGTCACAATTTTTCAGCACAGTATGTATGTGGTGTTCTTTGAAGGTTTACTTGAACGAATTTTAGTTTGTCGTATAGGTACGTTGCTAAGTTCCCGTGCGTGTATTTTGAAGACATACCTGCGTGCGTTTGTAATGGATTTTTTTTTCTATGCAACTGTAATGCAATACCAGATTGTTTGCACCATATGCATGGCTGCATGATTTGATACTCTATGTCTCTATGTTCTCATTTTTGTGACCGAGTTCATGAATTGACACATACTTTATGTTTACATTGGTAGTGTTTGTGTATGGCTAGGTATTCGTGGTCAACCTTGTGGTTTATTCAGGCCATGATACAATTTGACCATTCTTGGGAATATGTTTTCCAGTTCAACAATATTTTTAGGAACAACTCTACAGATTGGGCCATGGTTTTGGGAATAACTCTACATATTTGGCCATAGTTTTAGGAATAGCTCTGCAGATTTGGCCATAATTTTGGGAATAGTTCCACACAATTTATGCATAGTTTTAGTAATTGCTCTGGGGATTTGACTGTCCTATGATGAATAACTCTAGAGGTCTTTATGGATAGCTCTACAGCCTCACAGACAAAGAGGCCAAACCACGTCCTAATTCCTTATCCTCACACACGCACACTGTTGGGAGTCTCTTGCCGGTGTAATTTTAAAATGTCGCCAAGACACACATGCAAGCAAACACACCGTTATATGCGTCTACATGGGCACAACGTTTGGGGCAGGAAGTAAATTTGCAACAAATTGTGTTGCATATTCTAGCTGCTGCAAATAAAAAACAACTTGACAACATGAATCACGACGGTGTGTTGATGTTTAAAATCGTTAGTGGCGATGATCACATGCTCCAATTATTTTGCACGGGCTGAGTCGAACAACCAACCGTTTTGCAGTTGCGGTTTCTTTGTTTAAAAACAACCGCAACCCGCCCGAGAACCTGTTGCTAGGGAATAAAGACTGCCATGTTTGTTTTGTATATGAACGCATCACCTGCAACAGGTCTGTGCGTATTTGCGCACACTTGTTCAGAACCACAAACATAGTGCAACGCCTGGACATTTGTAGCCAATTCTCCCATTTTTTTTCAACACCATTGGACATATGGAGGAAAAATCACATGATTTGTTTGTTTATATCAAGTGGGTGAAAAAACGTATGAATTCAATGCATGGGCCGGGGCCTTGCTGACATGTGACCTCAATGTCGGAGTCCATTCGTGACTTAAACACCATGGTCGACCATCAAGGGAACAACCTCTGTGTAATGCAAATTTCTACTTGTTCGATTTTGATTTAGTCACAACCTGATTTAAACAATTCCCGTGGGTTTCCCAAATCTGAACGCGTAAAAATCACCCAACATTGCATAAAATCATAAAATTTGATGCATGTCTTTACACGCACGTTTCCGAAAACGATGCATGTAATTATACTACTGGCAACTCAGACACGCAAAAAAAAAATGTGGGCAGACCGGGGTGTCAAAAAATTATTTCCCGAGTGGAATCAGTTCGTAGATGCATTTTTTTTTTGAGAAGCAACGAATTTTTGATTGCGCATTCGGATTATTTGCATGTGTTTCAGTCCATTCAAATGACCTGCAGCCTTTGCTGTTCCAGTGTGCAAGTCACAGGTGTGCAACGCCAGTTGTGAACGGTTCATGGCTGATCCTCGATGGGATCACGGCGGTGCTGATGGGATTGCTGCGTGGCCTGGTGGAAAATTTGTTCAAAGGGTTTTGGGAATCCAAGTACGACGCATGGATGTAGTGGATTTTTGGATTCATGCATAAATTCGCAAGAGGATGCTACTTGTTGAACATTTTGTGTTTTTGCATACAAGAAAAACATAAAAAACCATCATTGTTGGTTGTATTTGGTTCCCTATTTTTTCTGAACTCTGGGTAATAAGGTCTCGGTAATATAGTCTTCCGGCATGTAGATGGAGTGAAACATAATTCCCAGTCCTTATTCAATAAAGATCATGACAAATTTCCATTCAGGGTTGGGTCACACGATATTTGGAGCGACCAACAACATTCTGTCCACAATTTAGGGTTCATTAGAAGATATCAGCTGGAGGTCATACATATGCCACCACGACAAGGGTGCCACAAGGCATGTCATTTTCCATTGGTATCTCTTTTGTGTTAATGGCCCATCGTTTCTCCTTGCTGTGCAGTAGTTCCCCATTATTCGTAGCAGATATAATTCACACAATCAGCGACGGAACTTCCTCATCACGGTGGTTGTATCCAACGGCATTCACCCGGTGAGCACCCGTGGTGCTGTGGACGCCTTAGGTCATGCGAGACGGGAAACGTGGAGAGTTTGTATCTTGTCATGTGAAGGGTTCAGAAACATCACATTTTTTTGGGCCTGAACGAGTCCGTTTTTCAGTCCCATTTTATTATTTTAATTGCAAGTTTTGAGAGGAGGTTCAAACCACTAAAAACCTGCATGGAACATCCAGTTTTCAGATTCTGCAATGAATCTATTTGGATGCAGAAAACAGAACAGAAAACAATGCCTTAGAGAATGCCAACATAGTGTGATGTTGGTTGAATTCGCAAGTTCGTCCAGATGGATCTGGGACACAGATTTCCTTCAGTATCCACTGCAGAGTTCAAGAGATAAAAAGTCACGAAGATGTATATGCCACCCAGCATTGCTCATTTGCTGCCAAATTCCTTGTGTACCCTCTGGTTATTTAACACTGTGGAATCTGGCCCATTTGTAGACTATTCTTATGTATATATATATATAAAGTTGCCCTGTGCATGTGACATGCACTCAAAACTGAACACTTTCCGAACACTTTCCATGGCCATGGATATTCACAAAAGAAAGCGGTGGCAATTGCTTCTGATTAAAGTTTGCACTGGCCACCCTTTGGGAGGCGGGATAGGGCCAAAATTCTTGACCACATAGCTCAAACTGACTGATCGTGATAGGGAGGACATCACGGCACAGCTGATTTTCTCGCTACCTCCAAGTTGCCCTGTGCATGTGACATGCACTCAAAACTGAACACTTTCCATGGCCATGGATATTCACAAAAGAAAGCGGTGGCAATTGCATCTGATTAAAGTTTGCACTGGCCACCCTTTCCATCCTTTACTTCCTGCAAAGCAAACAAATTCGAAAAAAGTCTGGAAAATGAAACTGCAGCACGGTCCAGACATGCTGCTCCAGCAAAATGATCCGATGTTTTGCAGCTGGCGGCAGTTGATGTAAGAACAACTGCGCAGCCACTTCTTGCACATAGTGTTCCACAGTGCGCATACGCGCCCACCTGCCCCTCCAAGCAACTTTGGGAAGGTCTTCTGAATCCAAATACATTTGGGTCGCTCCAGAACCTCGAAGCACGCCAGGAGTCGCCCCTCGGACGCTCTGACGCCGAGGGATCTCAAGGTGATCCAGCAAGGCGTTCCATTGGCGCCTGAAAACTGCAATCGAGGCATTGAAGAGGCGAGCTCCCAAAGGTAAATGCTCAAAGAACAGCTGGGCCATCAGGATGACTGAAGTGTCATCAATGCGCACATGTTGACGACGTGCGAACCGAGCAGTTTTGGGGTTCTTGATGTGTATGTATAAAACACTACGGTTTTCCAGGGAATCCGAAGGAAAAATTAAATCTCCCCTCTCAAGATGAAGGAACTCGTTTGGGTGAAGCATGCCTGAGCACCCTAAAGCAACCATGGCACCAAAACGATACCATTTCCATAAAAAGGCCAGGGCGCAAATGCTGCGAACAACTGGTGCAGACAACACTGCTCTGCACTGTCCAGGTTCTTTCAGCTGCCACTGTTTGTCTACCTGCCAGGCTCCTGCAAGGAAAGGCCGAAACTCAGGCCTCAAATGCTGCACACCGGTGATAGCATAGACCAGTTGGTACCTTGGTTTCCCAGCAGAAAAGGTGGCGCGCCCATACGCCCTCAAAGAAAGGTTTGCGTTCTCCGCACTGCTCAAGGCCATGTTCAGATCCCATTTCAGCTCCTTCTGAAGCCACTCTTCAAAAAAGGTCAAACAAGCATCCATCCGCGCGACGGTCGTCCGCGAGAGCCCGACAACCATACTGAGCTGCCCGCGGGGCTTGTAGGCTTTGTTCTCAGAGGGGCCCGGATTCCTTTCCACAACAGTAAACGCACCCACCGCCCTAACGGACGGCTCCACTTTGCACTTTCCAGCATGATTTCAAACAAACTGTCGTCGCCCTGCTCCAGACATGCAAGCCAGGTGGGTCGTTCACAGGTGGGAGGAGCAACTTTGCCATCTCGCGAAGGCCCATCCGCACGGTTCCATGCTGACCGCACATGCAGCCCACCTGGATATAATCCGCACCCCAGCACATAGCCCAGAGACGTCTTCAAAATATGACTCAAAGCTTTTGAACTGCTGCGACCTTTGGCTGCCGCTCCAAGAGTCACACGGCTATCTAAAAGTCCCAGAACTCTGCAGCCCGGCCACCGCTTGGCGCAATGCTTCAGCCAGCTTTTGTAAACTCGGCATTCCAGACAGTTGATATGCCCACCTTTTTTGAAACGATAGCGAAACAGTTCCCTGTATCGCAACCCCTCACACAAATCATGCACCCAATCAGGGTCCTCATGCCATGGTCGCAAGTTGCCATTCTCTTCTAAGGGCCCTGCTTTGCGACCCAACTCCAGGAAAAAATCTGCAGAACCCCGTGCCATGGCTCGGCAGAGCTCACGGGGATAGGAAGCCGAGAAAGCGCTCACCGCCTCTCCAGGAACCGGCAACCGACCATAGACCTCAGTGCAATTGGGGCGGCATCGTTTGTCAAACTCACGTATGTTTTTTCGAGTGAAAGTGCCCTGTACCACAAAATGTCTGTTTTTGTATGAGCAGCTGCAAACACCTGCCAGTCTCAACAGCCACGGCTTATTATGAAGCCACTTCGAAGGTTTGTTGAAAGCACTGCCAAAACTGCAGAAACAAAATTTTGTAAGCCAGCACCCCCTCGCAAGTAGTCGCTTGAAAATATCCAAATCAAACATGACTGAACTGCCCGGCTGTTCACACGAAATAAAACACCCATGCACCAAAGCTACCAAAAGAAGGAAGGCTGTCCGCACCGCCAAACGCGTCTGTTCAGCGGTCAGAGGGTCAGCAGGGTCAAAACCGAAGGGCTGAGCTTTTGACCTCAAACGAGGTCTCCTGAGGGTTCCAAAAGACCAGCAAGGGGGAGCTGCATGCCACTCCTCGACAGTGCCGCTGTCGGCTAGTCGCAAAAGCCCTAGGAAAGTGCTGTCATCACTCAGGTCGCCAAAGCGGACACCCCGCTCATTTCTTTCGACTCCAGGATGGACCCTAAGGCCCACCTCTTCATGAGCAACGCTCCAGTTTCCCTGGCCTCTAAACAACTCAAGGCAGTGGAACGTTTCCCGCTCCTCAGAGGTCATTGGCAAACAGGGCATCGGTCCTTCAGGTAAACTCAAGGGACCAGCTTCCGAACCAAACAGCTCAGCATGATCTAAACCTTTTTCACGCAGCACTACTCCAGGCCCTTGCTCCAGACGGGTATAATACCCTCGCTGCTCAGACAAAAGCCACAGCCGGTCGACGGCATCTTCAGCCACTGAGGAGGAACAAACTGCTCCAGCATATGGACTTGCGTCCATCATGAACACCTCCGGGCATATAGCTGCCCGCATGTCGCATTGTGCCAGGACACCCAGAAGCATCAGCATGGTCAGCTCACTCAGGCTTTTGGGAGAAAGGGGAAAAACTGTATCAGGAGGTTGATGGTTTCCTTCATTGTAAATTGCATCCAACACTGAAAAAATACATCTGCGAAATAACAATGCATGAACCCATGACCCAATCAAACTCTGCAGAATCTTCTTGGTGCATGACTTCTTTTGAACCACAACCGCAGTGCAAAACATGAGGACTGCAAGACGAGAACGCGGTGCAGACACCCTACCAACAACTCCATCAACTTCGGCCCCCAAAACGGTGGCCGCTGAAACTTGCCTTTGTCTTTTTCCTGGGTGAGGGGTAAGTCCCACTGCTGCATACGCTCGTTCAGACTGCTTGAAAACTGCTTTGTCCCGGGTTGGCTGTTGACCCAAAGGAAAACCCTTTTTTACCCGTTGCAACCCAATATGATCATCAATGGTCAAAAGTTCATAGAAAGGCCCTTTGGGGATTGCGCGACGATAGGCTAAAACTTCTTTGGGGTCCATGCATCCACCCAACTGTCGAAGTAAGTTGTAATGACTTTGTTGTGCAATTTCAACTGCCAACCCGTCGCCCATTGCCAATGTAGCCAAACAGATATAAACTGACTCCTGATGTAACTGTGGGTTGTAACACTGAAGGTGGGAGAGCTCACTGCCAACAAATGAAACCCCAATTGCATTCCTTGCAGCCCTACTACGAGACACCTTGAAGGTGTAGTAAAACTCGCAAAGGTCATCCGAACTAATACGAAGATCTTCATCAGGTCTCAGCCGTATCATACCAACCAAATGACCAGGCGCAATTGTTTTGGTGAAGGTGTTTGCATTATACATCCGTGAGTTGATAACTGTGGGATTGATAATAAGTCGATCGTGATCTTGATCTTTAGGAACAGCAAACAGACCAACGGCTTCGTCAGCTCTGATCTCATTCGTGGGGATCAGCATGCAAGCGCCGAGCTTGTCCCACTTTTCCGCCAGACGCAAAACCTCTTCGCGAGAGCAGTGAACACGAGCCCGCGGCCGCTGAGGCCAGTCGCCAACAGGTTTACGAAGGACTTCAGGATCTTGGAAAGCAGCATGAACAATAGGATCGCTCAAGTAAGGTTTGGGGTCAAAAGACGGACCTAACTTCCACTTAATCCTGTCTGAAAAAACCTGTTTGGCAGGTGATGTAGCCAACTTCACCTTATATGCTGTAGCCGGCTCGGCTCCACTGCAAACATTAGATGCATGCTGGGCAGAAGCTGCTGCATTGTTTGTTGGCTCTTTGCTGTAAGGGTCAAGATCTTTTTGGATCACATCTAAAAAACTTACCACATCGTTGAAACTCAGTGAATTAAAATCATGCAAAGAAAAAGATGCTTTCAATAAATTCTCCAGCTTTTCTCCAGCCCGGCCTAGGTCAGTGGGAGATGCAACGGGGGCTCTCAAAAAATAGTCCACCATCTCCTCCAACCTCTCCAAAGCGGCATGCTGCGCCGCAGAGATTGGTGCTCCCAAACGGCAGTGCTCTGGAGGAGACTGAGCATGTCCCAAGGTCAGCCAGTTGAGCGTGATTACAATCCTTTGCAAAAGCTTTGCCCGAACCATGAGAAACTTTCGACGATGACGTCGTCGAGGAGAAAGGTGCTGGCTGGCCGTCCAACGCCACCGGGGTGGGGGACATGGCCACACATCGGATCTTGGAGCAGTTCCGATAGCAGCGCGAGATTCACAGAGGCTCTTTCTCAGGAAACCTCCAAAACAACTTGCAGGATTGCTAGCCACCTGCAAAACAGCTAGCATGATCTCATTGCATCTAATTGCAGAAGGCAGAGCTTGGCCAGGCTGACCAAAAACTAGGCCTCCAGGAACTTTGGCCTCTTCTGCACCACCGTTCTCACACGCATCCAACTCAAGGGCTGGGCGCAGGTCCCGTTCCGCCCCCCGACCAAAAGTCGCAGTAGAGGCAGGGCCTCCCCGCGCTGACATAGAAGAGCCTGGCAAAGGTTTGGAACGGTCCCTGAATGGAAGCTCAGCGTGGTTGGTGCGATCTAAGCATTTGGTGATGTCTTTTCGGCACCTTGTTTCGGGCCGCTTCCCTCTGTTTCCGGTTTCTGCTTTTTGCCCTTGTACTTGGGTCTTGGGTTGTGCTCGGGCGCCGGCTTGTCGGCGTTGGCCTTGTCGCTTTTGTCGTTGTTTCGGATCTTGGATTCCAGAAAGTCCAGATCGCGAAGATAGGAGACATTTGCCGCGACCCAGCTTGCAGACGCCAGCCGAGTGAACGGTTTCAGCCCGCTCTTCTGAGTGTTTTGCTGCGTCAGGGTAAAGTTGGGATCTGCTAGTCCCGTCATCAGCCAACTCAGATTTGTGCGGCCTGAGTCCAGTGCAGTCTGTTCCACAAACATCAGCAGCTTGGCGCAAAACCCCTGGAGCTCTTTGTTGTTGGTTCGAGCACCAATCTCCCATCCGGAAGCGGCCAGATACCCGAACTGGGTCAACTGCCGAAAGTTGCCCAGAGGCACCCTCCGCTCCAAGTAGTCTCGCATGATGCCCGGAGTCACCTGGTAAGCGCTCAACCCGAGCTCGGCGGTGGCGTTGCTTTCGGCCACCGAAGCCAGCTTGTGAAGGTCCTCCGTGATCTTCACGTAAGCTTCCCTGGCCAGGCAACCCTTGATGCCGCTGGTGCTGCCCCCTTGATTGTCGCCCCCGCCTGACCCGAGCAAGGCCTGGATGGGATCTGAGGGCTGCCGGTGGTTGAAACTCTTGTTCATCAGAGCCATCTGCTTCATCTGGAGTAGCATCAGCTTTTGCATCGGGTCCGATGCGTCGGCCAGGGTTGCCTCCAGAGCCTGATCTAGCTCCTCCGCCTCCACTGCTTCGGCTGCATGTTCTGCCAAAGCTTGAGACTCGGGACCAGCTGCCTGAGACTGCCGTTCGTGAGCGCCAAGACGGGTGGGGCCCACCCCTGCCAGCATCTTCAACCGCTCCATCGCCGCATCTGCCGCGGCCGCATTGCCGAAGCCCCCCAGCAGACCGCCGGGACCAGCTAGCTGTCCCCTTGAAGCATTCACTGTGGGAGGCGGCGGAGGTGCTTGCCCTAAACGGATACCCTCAACTACTTAAGGTCTAGAAGGCCCCCCCGTGGAGGGGCTAGGGTCTAGAGGTCTAGACTGATAATTAGAGCATTGTAGACCCTTCCCAGTGGTACCACTCTAGACCCTTGGAATTTGGAGGTTTTGAAGCTAGCAAAAAATGAAATATAAAATCATAGCATTCTGGGGCCCTACTGTCAGGAAGCCATATTTTTTTTGGTTCACCCCAAATCCCTAGCAACACAGATTGGAAGCAAAAATAAAGGGATTCTGAAAGAGAGTTTCTGGATGGTTCTGGAATATGATACGAAATATGTTTAGTTTTCGAACAGGTCTTTTCAAAACTATCATCATCCATGGCATCCATGGCATCCTTTAGTTTTCAAAATCGTTTGGTCCCGCGCTTCTCCTCCTTCGGGGGCATCTCTTTCTTCAACCACACCATGGCACGTTGTGACTCCTGCCAAATTCAAGGAAATCAGGGCCAACAAAAATTAGATCGACTGCTTGAGGGGTCTGGACTTGAATCATACCAGGGGCACAGCTTTATCACATAAAAGAGCGCCAAGGCAAAGCATTCAAGACCCCACAGGTGGGTAAATACATCTGGACATTGCCTCGCCACACACATGGCTGCGCACACCAAAATGATAGTCAACAACATATTTTGTGTGCATCCAAGGTCTAACTTCAAATCCAATCAGGGCCCCAGAGGCATCTGAACACCACATCCCAAAGTAAACCAGAGGGAGACCCCGGTTAGCAAAATGACTTCAAAAAAATCGACTTCAAAAAAATCACTAATTTAGGTGAACACCGTCAACAAATGTGAACAACATGGAATGTCTCATGTTGATACTTTCAAGATCTTTTAAGCATCACCTTGAGTAACCAATGCTTTCTGCAAATGATTTCACAACCTTCAACCACATCAAAGCCCAGCAAACAACGAAGCATAGGGTCTAAAATGTTTTTCACCCAGCGTATCTTGACCTCTGTGTCCTTGTAAAAACACACAAACCTTTTCAGACCCTTTACAGCACCTAACTCCTTAACAGGAACTATGGAAAAATTAGATCGAAGGGTCTGGACTTGAATCATACCAGGGGCACAGCTTTATCACATAAAAGAGCACCAAGGCAAAGCATTCAAGACCCCACAGGTTGGTAAATACATCTGGACATTACCTCACCACACACATGGCTGGGCACACCAAACTGATAGTCAACAACATGTTCTGCGTGCATCCAAGGTCTAACTTCAAATCCAATCAGGGCCCCACAGGCATCTGAACACCACATCCCAAAGTAAACCAAAGGAGACCCCGGTTGGCAAAATGACTTCCAAAAAAAATCGGCTTCAAAAAGAACACTAATTTAGGTGAACACTGTCAACAAATGTGAACAACATGGAATGTCTCATGTTGATACTTTTAAGATCTTTTAAGCATCACCTTGAGTAACCAATGCTTTCTGCAAATGATTTCACAACCTTCAACCACATAAAGCCAAGCAGACAACGAAGCATAGGGTCTAAAATGTTTTTCACCCAGCCTATCTTGACCTCTGTGTCCTTGTAAAAACACACAAACCTTTTCAGACCCTTTACAGCACCTAACTCCTTAACAGGAACTATGGAAATAATATAAATCGAAGGGTCTGGACTTGAATCATACCAGGGGCACAGCTTTATCACATAAAAGAGCGCCAAGGCAAAGCATTCAAGACCCCACAGGTTGGTAAATACATCTGGACATTACCTCACCACACACATGGCTGGGCACACCAAACTGATAGTCAACAACATATTCTGTGTGCATCCAAGGTCTAACTTCAAATCCAATCAGGGCCCCACAGGCATCTGAACACCACATCCCAAAGTAAACCAAAGGAGACCCCGGTTAGCAAAATGACTTTAAAAAAAATCGACTTCAAAAAGAACACACTAATTTAGGTGAACACCGTCAACAAATGTGAACAGCATGGAATGCCTCATGTTGATACTTTTAAGATCTTTTAAGCATCACCTTGAGTAACCAATGCTTTCTGCAAATGAATTCACAACCTTCAACCACATCAAAGCCAAGCAGACAACGAAGCATAGGGTCTAAAATGTTTTTCACCCAGCGTATCTTGACCTCTGTGTCCTTGTAAAAACACACAAACCTTTTCAAACCCTTTACAGCACCTAACTCCTTAACAGGAACTATGGAAAAAATAAATCGAAGGGTCTGGACTTGAATCATACCAGGGGCACAGCTTTATCACATAAAAGAGCGCCAAGGCAAAGCATTCAAGACCCCACAGGTTGGTAAATACATCTGGACATTACCTCACCACACACATGGCTGGGCCACCAAAATGATAGTCAACAACATATTCTGTGTGTATCCAAGGTCTAACTTCAAATCCAATCAGGGCCCCACAGGCATCTGAACACCACATCCCAAAGTAAACCAAAGGAGACCCCGGTTAGCAAAATGACTTCAAAAAAATCGACTTCAAAAAAAAACACTAATTTAGGTGAACACTGTCAACAAATGTGAACCACATGGAATGTCTCATGTTGATACTTTTGAGATCTTTTAAGCATCACCTTGAGTAACCAATGCTTTCTGCAAATGATTTCACAACCTTCAACCACATCAAAGCCTAGCAAACAACGAAGCATAGGGTCTAAAATGTTTTTCACCCAGCGTATCTTGACCTCTGTGTCCTTGAAAAAACACACAAACCTTTTCAGACCCTTGACAACACCTAACTCCTTAACAGGAACTATGGAAATAATATAAATTGAAGGGCCTGGACTTGAATCATACCAGGGACTGTCAGGAAGATGATCAGGCTGAGGAGTCTGATAATTCAGGGTCGGACTGATCTACTTGAAAGCCATTTTTTTGAAAACCATTTGGAACAGTTTTGAGCTACCTCCATTTTTTGAAAGCAATTTGGAACAGTTTTGAGCCACCTGTTTTTTGTTGTGTCCCTGACCCGGTAGGATGACATAGAATGGGGATCAGACTGCAGATGAAAAGCTGGACTTTTTGGAGCATATGTAGAGGCAGTGGGAAAACCATAGTAGACCTTAAATACTGGACCAGCCCAAAGGTCTAGATGAACGAAATTATTTTTACATTCCCCCTGGTCAAACAACCCTTTAGACCCCACATTTAGGGTCTACACAGAAGTAACCCACCCCCCCCCAAGTAGCTGAGAGTATCTAAACGGCGTTCCAGCTGCTCCAAACGCTGCAGCAATTGCGACGCCACTCCGGAGTCCAAAGGCTCCCCATCTAAATCTGGCACGCCTTCTTCCCCGCCAATGCCGGTCATGTATTCGGCGGCAGTGTCCTCGTCCATTGCTTCTGTGACCCACTGGTCGGTGCTGGCTTCGAGGGCGGTCTTGATAGGTCTGCCCACTGTGTCGCCAACCTTGAAGCGGATCAGGGCACCGGTACTGCTTCGACCAGGGCGTCTGAAGAAACCTAGGCCTCCCCATCCGCAATCCACAAGCAAAATTGCAGCCTCCCCAAGAGAGCGACCCCGAGGAGTTTCGAGCTGGCACTCGCACTGGTAGGTCACAAACATCTCCTCTGGTGCGCCTCCACCAGCCTCGAAAAACAGCACCACTTCCTCTTCTGCAGGCAGACAAAACATCAACCCTCCAGCACGTATACGTGCCACGTAGGTGGCAGCCTGCCATAGCTGAGTGCCGTCAGGAGTAGTTGCAGCAAAGTAAAAGAACGTGCCCACAGGTCCGGCTGCACGGAACTGGGCCTCGATCTCCTCTTGCTCTACAGCTCGAGCTGCGGCCCGGGAGGCCATCTAACTCCAGCTCCAATGCAGTAGGCCTCAGCTTCCACTTCTGATGGAAAGGCGTGGGACACGCTGCTGATGTCAAAGGGTACACCAGGCCCACCAACGGCCCGGAAATAGATCTCAGGACTTTTGGTCCACCCAGCACGTCCTTGAGGTCCACCACGAAGCACCACGAAAACCAGATTTTTAAATTCCAGACTCGGAGAGCGCACCACTGCAGTAGGGTGTGGATTCCGCAGGCAATCTCTAGCAGAAAGACCAGCTCGCAGGGCCCGGCCCAACCTCCGCAATGGAGTCCACCCAGAGCGCGCCTGACTTCGCAGGCGACAGGCTAAGTGACTCATGGGAGCTAGGTTGATCCCCTCGTAATCCTCAGGCCCCTTGGCACCAAGCACTGCTCGAACCCACTCGGCCGACCACACAGCAGGAACCGCACCAAGGAGGAGGCCGAAGAAGGAGAAGCTTCCTGGGCCCGAGGGCCAGCAAGGGATACAGGTACCTCAGTTGAAACTGGCTGCTGACTCAAACTGCGGCGGTCAGGTGAGCTGATAGTAATCCTCAGTTCCCCGATCTGCAAAGTCAGGTCAGTCACAGGGTCAGTTCCAACCATAAATCACTGCCGGTAACCCGCCAGTCGAGATCGCACAGCTAGAGCTCGATCCTGAACCAAACCACCTGGAGAGAGTAATGAAATCAGGGTCTGCAGAGCAACCACCAGCAGCTTGCGGCACCCAGGGCTAAAGATCACAGCACTGAGAAAAAAACCGCAGATGATTCCCAACCAAAAGGCAAAGCAAAGTAGTAGGAGAACTGTGGCCCAACTGAAACCAGTGCAATCAGCAGCGCTCCACCACAAGCGGCCCTCGCGAAGCAGCTCCAGGAAACTCATGCAAGGTGTTTGGGCCAAAATTCTTGACCACATAGCTCAAACTGACTGATCGTGATAGGGAGGTAGCGAGAAAATCAGCTGTGCCGTGATATATATATATATATATCAAAAATGGTGGTTTTCCGGGCTACGTTAAACAACCAGAGGGTATTTCGCCAAAAAGAACCTCAGGCTTGCCTTGGCAAACACCACAGTCCTGCGATGCGTACGGATCCCTGGTTGTGACCATGTTCATTGTTGGGTCTCCAGTCAGGGACCTGAAAGCATCTAAGGAACTGTTAAGGGTGTTAAGGTATACTCAGAACCCATGCGTAAGGTATACCGGTCAAAATCGAGCATAGTAACTCGCAAAACGATCGAGACAGTAACATCCTACTTACAGCAATAGTAACTTCAGCCATTTTGATCTTTTTTCGGGCAGTCAACTGTGAGACATTTTGACTCAACGGATCAAGGTGTTTCTTTGATGGGAAACTCCTCAGAATGGGTGTTCGTTTCGGGTGTCAAGAGATCATGCCATCTGCAGCCCACCTGGAACGCTCAGACCATGCCCTCCGTGGGAAGCCAAGTGGACAGACGTTGGAAGGGGCAGCACATCTCAAGGCGTCAGAAAAGGGAACTGTGTTTGTTTGCTGCTGTTTGGAAAGGTTAAACATCAGAAGACCAACAACAACAATGGCCTTTTGAAACCCACGCATCATGGTGTCCAACCCCCTGTTTTTTGATGTGGTTGCAGAAGAATATATTTCCTTGCAAAAGGATGCCGAAGGGCCAGTTGATCGGTCTCCAAACTCGAGAGCAAAAAAAATCGGGGATTCCCAGGTCATTTTCTACTTGGGAATGTCGAAAAGATTGGTGGTGCCACAATGTTTGGTCCGCAAACATTGTTGTGTGGGGTACCTTAAGCACATCAAAATGTCGAAACCAAAGAGAAATCCATTTTGCTCAGGTTGGTTCAAATTTTCTTCAAAATTCATATCATATCTTACTCCAGGATGCTTGTACCAGCGTTTTTTTTTGACCCGCTGCCCAGCCAGGATGCGCTCGGGCCGTTGGAGAACTGCAGCCAAATGCCATGGAGTCTCTGCAGACATTCAGGTTGTGAGCATGGATATTTCAAAAACATTGGAGAATTCAAACAGCAAATCTGGAGCAAGTCTGTGTCTCTGAACTGGTACTCCATTTGGTGGAGAACATAATTTTTCATCAAAGATTCTTAACATTCGCATGAAAGTTGGGGGGTTGAACAAAACCTTTTAGTTGCTCATGTGCGAAATCACTCCGCTTGACACCCTGGAAATGTGATCTTTGACAACTTGGACGGGACGTTTGCACTGGTCTCTTTGTTCCGGCTAGTAGAATGGGGTCAGGAAAACATGTTGAAGTCAGGCCTAGTCTTGCATGAACCATTCTTAGGCGATGTTCAGCCTTGTTTCACCCATTCTGGGCTCGTTGTGCCAACGTTCCACAGGGACACCTCTGCGCTATTTGTCCTGGTTGCCACTCCAAGTTTGAGACACCTTAAACTGTATGGCTCATGCGTGGCCGTGCCAGGAGAAAGCCGAAGAACGTGTGCCAGAACGACATTCGTTGCGTGAGGCGGAATTCGCTGGCATTTTGCCAGGGGTGCCTCATTGAGCTGCGAAGGTTAAAGGAATTGTTTCACTGTTTCATCTTCGAATGAACTCAACACTCCGGCGGTAGACTTTCTTTTATTTCTACCAAAGCACTTGTTTTACATGCATTGCACGTTTGGTCCAGAACGACCTTAATTAATTTTGTCAGGGAGAAACAATCCCAGCCCCCGAAACTTGGGATCCAACACTCGATGTAAAGGGTTGCAGTGAGGGTGTTGGGAAACACAACATGTGTTGATGCCAGCAAAAACAGTGATAAACAGTGATATAAAGTAGTCACAAGCTTCCTTTTAAGCCATGCAGTCATGCAGTCTAATAGATGAAGAATTTCGGACTGGCTGAATGACAATCCCAGAGGCTTCAGCCACAGGGTTGGTGCCGTCCAAAGTTGGCTCACAGATTTTGCCAGCTCGCCTAGCTCGATCAAATGTGGCCGGTGATGTCTGAGACAAACTTGGCCAGAATTCTCCAGCCTGAAAGCCCGGCCTCAGGATCTGATGATCTCGGCCAGAATTCCTTGGGATAAACTGATTCTGTGGGTTGGGAGGTGCAAAGCCCTCGAGGGAACGTGGTCATGGTTCCTTGGTTGCCGCCAATTTGGATTTGGTGATAGGTAGTCCAGGCCTTAGAAAGTGACTCGAAGATGTCGCATCTCAGGCTTTCCAATTCTACTTGCCACCCAAGATGCATTTTGACTTTGAGTTCGCTCTAGGCACGCAAAAAAAGTGTGGCCTTCAGGGCCTCAACTCCTCAACCCAGCAAGGAACCATGCCACGACTGCAACATGTTTGCTTCCGCTGCGAGGCCACAGGGATGGCCACATGACGTTGACTGGGCCAGATATTTTGCGGATCATTTTAGGCGTTTCAGTCAGAGGCAAATCGAGACTGGACCATGAAAACGGATGTGTTAAGAGGATCAATTTGATCAATGTTTTAAGACATTTCTAAGACATTTCGACTAGTCAACTTCTCACCGAACCATGGACGAGAATGCGAATCGACGTGCAGCTGAGCTTTTTGCAGAGCCGTGGTCAAGCCTCGGAGCCGCGCGAAGGGCGGGCCCGTTTGTCCATGGCGCAAGCAATGCCGGTTCAGCAGGATGTTTAGGACTTCTCTGAACCAAAGCCGCCACCAACGCAAAACTTCATGGTCAGCATTGAGAATCATTGCACTCAAGATCCAGTAAGACTTTATAAAGCTGAGTTTGTTTTTCCCTCTGAGAATACCACTTGTTGATCAAGGCTGTAAGACCTGTAAGACTGCTAGTGACCCGCTTCACCACAGCATTTCAGGCCATAGCAAGCCGTTGGGGCCATGTGCCCTGCGTCATTTTTCATTGGCCAATGCCTCGGATAGGGTGTGAGTGGAACAAGTGCAGGGTATGGTATCACGATGTGGGCATCGACAAGGAGAACACCCTGCATCCCTATGAACTAGAGATGTCCTAAAGACAATCTAAAGACCTTGGTATTTTGCGGACTATGTAGCAGCATGGATTGTGTAGCAGCAGTATATTCGGGCAAGAGATTTTGAGGATGTATTTAGAATGATGATAAATGATGCACCTGTGTGCTTGTGACCCTGCTGCTCACCTTTCATTGAGTACACTAAGATTAGGAGGAGATGACGCGAGAAGCCCGCATTCATAGTGATCCAACATGAGTATGGCTAAAAACGATTGAAGCTTGTATAAAAGGAGCAAGGGACCACATTCTGAGCCTGTTTGGAAATATGGTGAGGGCTGGTCGAGTTGGTCAATAATGCCATCCTTTCTTTGTGTTGTTCCGAATGCGCAGCAAAGGAATCCTGCTACACCGTAGGGATGTTGCACTTGGAAGGGTTTGCCCATGAAATTTGCCACAAGCGTGCAAAAGCCATGCCTATGGGCTGTCCAAAGCATCTAATTAGTCGTCAGCTGCGTTTGTCGTGATGGTTCTATCAGCTGCACCACCCACACCCTGAGCTTTGTTGCACACAGCATTGCTACATCCGTTGGCCACGGCAGCACTCCGTGGGCACAACCTGCATGGGTCAAAATGAGTCAGGCCTTGTCAAGCCGCGTTTGCTCCATGTTTGCACGTTGAACAAATTGACCGAGCCACAAACACATCTCCAGTCTATCATACAGGCGAGAAATTGGTGGATGATTTTTGGAAAAGGAGCTGAAGTGTTTCAAGCTTGGAGTTCATTGAACTCCCAAAGGTCAATGCCAAAAATACTTTGGAAACCAGGACATGATGGAGATGAACACATCGTCGAACTAGCATCCTCAAAAGACTTTTCCATCTTGGGGCTTACTACAATGAAATTGATTCTTGAATTTGACGTCACATGGAAGCCGCCGCCGCAGTGCTCCACGAAAGTCCAAGCAGATTTGCAGATTGCCTTGAGTTTGCCAAGACCTTTCCCAAGAAAACTCCATGCCGTGCGCGCACATGACAAGATCTAACAAGATCAACCAGATGTCCTCAGATGTCTTCAGATGTCCTTAGTGCAGATGCGTTTTTCTGCCATGGCTTTCGCGGCGTTGTTTCTCGCAGCCTTCGCAGCCTCATGCTGCGCTGCTGCAGCTGCTGAGCAGGCACTCCACCAATGGACTGTCCTCCGTGGTGGGTCAAGCGATGACAAAGCTTACAGCCTTGAGGCCGGGAGGGCGAGCACAGAGGTCTTACGGCAGATGTGTGCTAATGACATTACAATGATATGTGATGATGTGTGTATTTTTGTTATGTTTTTTTTTCATATTGATATACTTTGCTGATTGGATCCGCAAAGTGTTTTTTCCCGAGAGCGTCTGAGCGAAGGGTTCTTCTAATAGTGGGGGTCTGTCAAACATTTTCACATCTTCACATCTTCTCATCTTCACATCCTCACATCTTCACATCCTCACATCTTCACATCTTCTCATCTTCACATCTTCTCATCTTCACATCTTCTCATCTTCACATCTTCTCATCTTCACATCTTCTCATCTTCACATCTTCACATCCTCACATCTTCACATCCTCACATCTTCACATCTTCACATCTTCACATTCTCTCTTGCCCTCTTGCTCTCTTGCCCTCTTGCTCTATTGCCCTCTTGCTCTCTTGCCCTCTTGCTCTCTCGCCCTCTTGCTCTCTCCTTCTTTTCTATTTCTCTCGTAAGGCGCGGGGCAGTGCCAACGAGACGGCACGAAACGCAACCCTTTCGCACGAAACGAGGTTCGATCGCCAAAAACTGCGGTAAAATTGCGATTTTGAAGCGTCCGGCGCAACCCTTTCGCACGAAATGAGGTTCGATCGCCAAAAACTGACGTAAAATTGCGATTTTCACGGGTCCGGCGCAACCCTTTCGCACGAAATGAGACTTCTGTGTGCA